CAAAAATCTTGTTAGTCATCCACACTTTTTTGTTAGCTTCATATTTGGTACTGAGATTTTCTTTCTAAATATTCTTGAAACATTGTGACTTTGCTAACTTTCCAATAATTAGTGGTTTAAGTTTGTCTATACCAGTTGCATTTGTATAAAGCAGGATGGTTATTTACTTCTTGTCTTTCTTTTTTCCTTTGACTGGCTTTGTTGCAAGTGTTTGATTAGGTATCATCCAAAAAAAGAGGCCAGTTTCATTAGTATTGTAGATATTCTCTGGTCTATATTATGAGAGTAATTTGACTAATTATTGTCTTTGCTCAGGAAGATTCTTGATAAAAACACTTTCAAACTCTTCATGAATTCTAAATTGCCAAATATCATGGTATTTTTTAAAATTATCAAGTCAACCATTGCTCATTTTGAAATCATCCTCAGAAATATTTATTAATATGACAAATTTCTTTGCCTGCAATTGTAATAGTCCATCTGTCAGAATTGTATTTTGTGAAAAAATCCATTGTGTCCAGATGTTCAAAGCAATTTCTAATTGTGCAAACTTTACTGATCTGTTAACTGTTTTTTTTTATTCGAGTTCTATTAGTTACATGAATAACCATTCATTCTTTGACTTTAAAATCTTTGAAACTATACTTCTGTTACAACTGTATTTCTCAGAAAGTTGATCAATCATGAGAGTTGAATTGACTTGTTTTTGTTGGCACATTTCTTGTTTAAATTTTATAGTTAAGTACATTCACTTCTTCTGTGGCCATTTTAATTTATTCATATTGTTAGTATTTTCATAGCCATAGTTATTGTCATCATTATTACCATTATCATATTCCCATCATCATTATTGCTATAGCCATTATTTGCCATGAATTTATAATGTTAGAAGCTATTTGATACATAGGAAGAAGTATGAGAGTAGTGGAATTTGGTAATAGGGAGTGTGAATTTATAATGGAGTGTATGACATGTGAATTTTATAATGCAAAAGAGGTATATAATGGAACATGTAAACATGTTGTACAACTGGACATGTGAATAATATAATTTATCCATAGTTATCAGAAAGTTCTTATTTTTTGAATAATATCCTTTAATATTTTTCAAATATTTTCTATTGGTTTCAGATCTGGAGAATTTGCTGACCAATTATAATCATGATTTTATTTTCCCTTGTTTTTCTTGCAATATGTATCAGCATATTGTCATGTTGAAAGATTGCATAACTTTCAGTTAATTCTCTAATTATATTCTGGAATGGAAGTAATTGAGTTTTTAAGATTTTGAATTAGATATTTGCAGTTATTTTTTCATCATTTTTTATATTCATCATAAAAATTAATGGTCTCTCCATGAAATATCTCCAAACTATTATAGATTTTTGTCTATTTTTAAAAGTAGGTGCCAAATAATTAATGTTAAACCTTTCTTTAGAATGCTGCCAAACTCTTAACTATCATGATTACTTTCCAATTTTCACACTGATTCATTAGAGAAAATTATTTTCAACTAATGATAAGCTATTTTATTTTTATTTACTTCACATTATTTAATATGAGCATATATAAGGTAATCTTTCTGAACATGATAAGTTTTCACTTTTTTGATTTGTTATATTTTTTAGAAAGTAGCATATCATTATAGGATTGCATCCAAGTATTTTTGTGATTTAAGTAGCATTTGCAATATCCATATATATCAAAATCTTCCTCTTTTCAATTTCATTAAGCTATATATAGGTGGATACTATTTTTTAATCTAATAAAATTATAGTGTCGATGAAATAGCAAAAAAGGAAGAAAACTTGATAAATGTATTTTTAAAAAATGATTGCATATGTAAATTGGATGATACTTTCTGTGAATATTATACATTTGTCTTTCAAAAAAATATGCCTAAAAATAAGCACAACTCTAATTTAAAGCTCAAAATATACCTCAAAAACTCATGCTTATTTTGAAGGTAAATACAGTACCCAGAAAGCGTGAGATTTTATAGTTCAAAAAATTGATTTATCAATGGTAAATTGTGATATTGATATTAATAGGAGACATATGATTAAGAGCGGAAATATGATTTATATTAATAGTGATATCAATGAGATATAATATAAAAGTTGATATTAGTAAGAGAATTTTTATAGATAGAAATCTATTCTATAACCAATATTGCTAATAGAGAAGTGTTGATATTAATAAAGTTGATATCAATAAGAGCTAACTATATATTTAAAAAATTATTAAATAATTAAAGAAAAATATGATTATAGAAAGAATTTTTAATTATAATTAATTAATAATTAAAAAACTTAAAAAAATAACTATAAATTATAAAAAAAATATGATAATAAAAAGATTTAATTATATATAATATTTAAAATTCTATTTATTTACTTTATTATTATTATTAATTAAAAAAAATAAATAAGAATTTTTTATTAAATAAAATATTTTTTCTTAATAATTATATATTAATAAAATATATTTTAAAAAAAAATTAGTTATAAATAAAAGTAAATTTAATAAAAAATATTAATAAAATTATATATAATTAGATATTTATTTATAAAATATAAAGTTTATTTTTAAATATAAAAATTCATTTAATTAATTTTTATATTATATAATTTTATATTTAAAAGATACTTTTATTTTATAAATAAAAAAAGTAAGAAATTTGATTTATTTTTTAAAAACTTAAAATAATTTAAGTATAATTTTATTTTTTATTATATATTTTATATAAAATATTAAAAATTATAAAATAAAAAAATATTATTAATTAATTTATTTAAATTTTATTTATTTTGAAAATTATATTTATAATTTAATATTATTTAATTAATAAAATTTTATATTTAAAATATTTTTATGTTCTTATAAATAATATTTAAAAAATTAATATAATAATAATTATTATTAATTAAAAGAATTATATTAGCTTTATCAAATATATTAATTATTAATTAAAATTTTTATTATAAGAATAATATAATCTGATAGTTTATTTTATATAAAATTTCTTTTTTATTAAAACTTTTTAAAAATTATATTGCTAAATATAGTATTAAAAACTTTAAGAATGATAAAATAAAAAAATTAATAAGCTAAAAACTTATAATTTAAAATTTTTAAAAAGTAAATTCAAAAAGAATTTATTAATATTTCAAAAATATATATTTAAATATATTTATCTTAATAATTATTTAAAAACTAATTTTAAAAATTTATTAAAAATAATATTAATATTAACTAATAAAATAGCTAGAAATTATTCTAAAATATAAATTATTTTGTTATTTCTGAATATATTATTTAAAAAATTTCTTTTCTTGTTAAAATTTTTGACTACAATAAGCTTTCTTTATATTATTAATATTTTATATTAGTATTAATAATATAAATTTTTTATTAATTATTTTATGTTTATAAATATTAAAAACAAATACTAGTTCTAATATAGCATATTTTTATAATTAAAAGGTTAGAATTAATATTATTTTATACTTTATAATCCATAACTTTTTTTTATTTAATTACAATTTAAAATACAATAAGTTTTATTTTTCAGAAATTTTTTAATATAATATTTTTGAAAATTTTTTATTATAAAATCATTATTAACATTATTTTTCTTTTATTTTTATATAGTGACAATCATGTAATCAGTAAAAAATTCAAGCATTGCATTACTCTTGATTTATTTAATTCTAGAAGAATTAAATAAGATATAATGAAATTAAATTTTGGTTTGTACTTTTTTTAATATTAGATGTGACTTTTAAATTAAAATTTCATAGACAAAGATATCAAAATTCATAGAATAATACTAAAATTTCAAAGAATACCAAAATTTAAAAAGATACTGAAATTTTATACAGTCAAATCTTTCTATCGTCATATCTCTTTATAATCACATTTTTCATAATCGTTCTTTTGAGTTTTTTCTCGAATAGCGTCATCTAGTTTTTTTTGTTCAACTTGTAATTTTTTTTAAGGTTGAAAGGGTTAGCATTAATTTTCAAACTTCTAGCGTATAGCTTTGGTATTAATTTTTTAGCTTTTTAAACTCAAAGCGAATGAGAGTAAATATAGAAAAAACATAATTAACTATAATTAAAAAACCTTTCTATAGTAAGTGGTCGTAGACCAAATTAATTTGTGAAATCCTAAAATTACACGCGGAATTCGCATATGCATATAAGATTTTAGTTGCGAAAATTTAAATTGTTTGTGGTCCGCAAAGCTCCTCAAGTCAATTTTAGACACTGGTCATGAATTGGATCATTTGACGTTGATATACGCGTCATAAAATGACCGATTGTTCTTTGTGCTCGGAAAAATTTAGATACATGATTTACGGAAAGTTAGTAGGGTCGGATACTTTTGCAATTTTACTGAACAAAGAACACGAGTCCAAAAAATTTTTTTATCATCACTCCTCTTTATAAGTATGCAAACGTGTATTATACCTTTGTCTCTATTTTAGAGAATCAATAAATTCAATCAATGAATGCTTTTTTATTGTTAAAATATATAATACAAAAATTTTTTATATCCGTTCCCCGAAAATACAACATTATAAGACGCGTCGCTAGCGAAAATGTAACATTAATTGCTAATTGCTAATCTATAATAAATACAAATAAAAACCCACAAATCCAAGAATTTTTTCTCTAAAACTATAATTACAAGCATTAAAGAGAAAGGGAAAATTGAAGGGAGCATCGTTTTATTACGTAAAAATTTTATACAAAGGGGGGGAGGGTTGGTTATTATTTAACAAAGTTTATGAAATTAGATTCTTGAGAAACGACCAGTCCAGCCAGACGTCCAACAAAGAAATGAACCCGCCCGGGGAATATTAACATTAAGGGTTTTTTTTTTCACCCCCACCCTTTTTTTAGTCCTATCAATCTTGTGAATTTTTTGTTTTTAAAGAATTCTTTTTTTCTCTTCCTTTTTCATTTCTAGATTTCTCAGGTCAAATTCTGTTTTTCATACTAAATTATTAGTGATTTGTAAAGTATGATTAGTGACCTGTAAAGTAGTATTATTAGTGATTTGTAAAGTGTCATTAGTGACTTGTAAAGTATCATTTGTGACTTGTAAAGTATCATTATCATTAGTGATTTGTAAAGTATCATAATCAACCCGGTGTCCACGATTCGCCGAACCAGCAATACGACTACTAGGCCGCGAAAAAGAACTACGCCGAGGCGAAGTTGATGGCGAAAAAGAGCCACGTCGGGGTGAAGTTGATGGAGAAACACTTATCATTGATGACGCATCATTCTGTAAAAGAACATCATTATAGCTTGGTGGTGAGATTGTGATCAGGGTGTGCGAATCGATATTGTGTCTTTGTTCAAGTGGTGAGATTTTTGCTGCAGCGATTGGTGACAACGCAGAGCTATCGTATACAGGGAATGCGATGATTGTAGTGTCGGAGCCTTGGTGGCGTAAAGTTGCAGGAGCTGACGCTGTTTTGGAGGAAAGCCGCACATTTGGTAATGTTATTATAAGAAATTCCTAAAATAATTCATGTTAAGGTTACGATGATGTACAATAATTCTAGCGATAATTCAAAGTATAAGGAACAGAAATTCACCTCCGCAAAATCATCATTATCTGTCCTGTGACTTTTGAAACGCCAAGAAACGCCTGTTCGTGGCGTGTCCTGTTCATTAAAGGTAGAGACCAACTCTTTGGTATCTTTCAATAACTATAAAATGATGTGATGTAAATTATTAGCATACAAGCATTGATTTCTAGAATGATAAAAAATATTATACATACTTTAGTCTTTAATCGCTTACTCAACACCCACATCCATGACAAACTAATAATCGCTACAAGCGGCATCAGCGCCACCAACCAAATCACGTTCACCCTAGTCGTCGTATCTTCCTTGTCATTCTGCTGCTTTAGTATAAAAATCGGCACGATAATTGACATCGCGATGATTGCGAATAAGTGTGGCGGAATGCACGAGATGCAGGAGCGATGACGGTGTTTCGCGCATAGTTTGTTGTAAGAGACGACACGGTGATTGTATTCGGTTGGTGTTAACTATTTTTGTTGGTAGTACAAAATTTTATTTTAGAAATGTGAAGACAAGGAATTATTATTGTCATGTATGAATGAATGGATACATGCATGCATTTCCTGCATGCATGTATTGCTGTGAACATAATTGGGGGGTGTTAATTAATAATTTGAATTCTTGTTGTACTTACATATCCATATAACTCTGACGGAAAGTCTTCGCGTGTAATTCGTCCGTATTCAATCGGTAATCGAACTTCAGAGTAACAAGCCATTATATTATTGTTGTCGTTGTTTGTGGCAGATAATAATATCGTTAAAATTCTTTCGTTACGTTACTTTTGTTCTTATCAAAATTAAGATTCTTTTCGAAACGTCAAAGTTTACAAGTCAAAAAAAAAAAAAAAAAAACTGTTTCTTCCTTATCGCTACTTTTAATGATCACACTTCTATGCTAATAAATTTTGTCGTAAAGAGAAATATGTATTTGGAACTTTTGGCTTGAGCAATAAAAAATTTTTAGTTGATCAACAATTTTCATATGCTAAGAGTAAAAAGTGACTTTTTTAGGTTGTGAATTATTACTGTTGTATTGAATTGAGCAATATTGAAGAAAAATCCAAGTTTCAAAATATAATGTACATACAAATATTAAAGCAATTAATTAACAAAAACGCTAAGATAAATCTAATAAACAACAAATACGTGCGCCGCCTGGGTACTAAACGATACTGTTGTCTATATCAAATTTTTACTTAAACGATCAATCTTCTTCAAAGAAGAAAAGCTCGCACCAAAGATTTTTAAAGTAACCAAAGGAAGAAAGGGGAAGGGAAAAAAAGGGAAGGGGGATGGTGGATAGGGAAAAAGGTAGGTTGAATGAATATTAACGTTTTTATATTATTTTGGTTGTGTGTACATGTAATTAGATGAGCATGAATAAATGCTATCGCTATCTCCTAAAAAAGAGGTGAAATAAAAGTAGATCTGCTTACACCACAGCCAGTCCGGTTAGAATTTAATTTTTCATGAATTCACTATATACATGTAATAATATCTGATATAACGAACTTTCAAAAAAAATTTTTTATTATCACAACCGTCAACTGTATATGATATTTTGTCTTATTATGGTAAAAAATAGTTAACGTTAATTAATATGTACAACGTGTGTGTGTACTAATGTACAACATTATTATTGAATTTTGTGTTTGAAATAGCTACAAAACCGAATCTTATTCGTTTAAAGGATGCCGATATTTTTGATTCTTTGTTTTTTGTTTATTTTTTATATTTAAATGAGATTTCTTTTAATGATGAGGAAGTTTGTTAGTAAACACTTCATCCAGTATTTGCTGTATTTCTAAAAGTTTAGTTAACCAACTTTCTCTGGTAGAAACCCTAAGCTGAGGTACAAAACAGAACCTTGATGAATAGAAAGGAAAGAGAAAAGAAAAAATACGTATAGAGATGGAAAAAATATAGGAACACAAAATTAAGTTAAAAGACATTAATAATTCGAATATTTCTATGAAACTGATTAATATTTAATTAGGAAATCTTAATTATTGTAGTCATTATTGCTAAAACCCTGAACTTTGTTGCATGTATCAGATTTGTTTGTTTTTTCTTTTGTGCATGTATTGATACGTACATGAATATATTATGCATGGTGGCTTTTTCTTTCGTGTATTCTTTGTGCATGTAAATTTAATCTTCATACTTAGTGCTATTTGATGACATACAACGTATCGATATATCTAAAACTATGAAAATTGCCGAGCAGCTTTTTTTTTTAGCTCGGTATATCCACAGGTAAAAAAAATATTTTTTAGAAATAGATTTTTGCAGTTTGGAAATTAATTAACGCGGTAACTCGCAAAGGTGGGTTTTTTTTATGTAAAATCGTATTATTATATTATTTAGTTTGGCGTGATCTTCGGAAGTAACATTCCCTGAACGTTATATTTTTTACAAAAGCGACTTATGTTTCATTCATTCATGAACGATGTTGTGACCGATACAATTATTGGTTCTAACGAGATATGTATCCTCCTGAAAATCATTATTGTATTAGATTATCGTTGCTCATGTGACTCAAAATACAGTGTCTTTTTTAGTCAATGCGGGACATGTTATTTCTAAATAAGGTAAAACAACAAAATTACGATTTTTCACACGAGATTAATGCGTCATGATTTTTTAACGTTAAAGATATACCGATTCGTTAATCATAATCTCATCACTAGTGCATCATATTTTTCATTATGATCAGAAATTATTTTTCCAACATAAAAAGGTAACGTCGCAAAATTGACTTGTAAAGATGCATTTTAATTCTCGTATACATTCAGTTAAGAACAAACAATAATGAAAATCAAAAGAGTATTCAAACGTTTGAAGCGACCGTTCAAAAAACTAAAGAAGGTAATTTTAATAGAATAATCATAAAAGCTAATATGCACTACCATAATTAAAATTTTTTTCCCTTTAATAATAAAGATTTGCAAGAAATGTAGATAATTTTAACGTGACTGCGTTGCCGTTCTCATCGTTCGCATCTTTTGCATCTTTATTTGTGTTTGACGCAAAGAACATTGAGATTATTGAAATTAATTTTCTATGCATAACCTGATTTGTTAAACACAATGCATTTATTTCTTTACAAAAATGACGAATGAATATTTTATTTTTTATTTACTATTCTTGATTCAATTGATGAGTTACACTTTTTTAGATGCACAGGTCGCATTTTTTTTTGGTATCATTTATGAGAAATTAACTTTCCTTTCAATTATTACATGACTTGCTCGAACAAATCTTCATGTATTTTTTCAATTTAAATGTAAATTTGACTTCGTAACTTTGTTCTTTAGAACTTGATCGGTACAAAGCTTGGTTTAAAATAATTGTTTTTAAGGCAGTACAGATTCGAACTTAATAAATTGTCAATAACGTTTATATGTATACTCACACATGCAATTCCCCAGTTTTGTAATAAACTACTTAAAAAAATTGTAGTCTTCAAAATTTGCATTTAGCACACTAATAAATCTAAGCAGATAAATAAATCATTTCTCTTAATGATGAGAAACAAAATTGAAAATTTACTCGAATTAATTAATAAATTCATATAATATAGTATAAAGATATTAAATTAATAATAATTGATACTTTTAATAGGATTTATGATAATTTATCAAAAGTTTTTAGTTAACATTAATTTTACTTCCAGTAATCTTTAATGAGCTTTCAATTACTTTCTGTAATAATACTGCTCTCTAGTATTGAGAAAATTTATGACTTTTAACAGCAAATTTGTATTTAAAAATAGAAAAATATAAACCAGATCTGAATTTGAAAAAAAATAAATAATTAATTAATTAATAAAGATTATTTCTTAAATATTCAGTAATCAAATATGAATTATAAATATTATATATTTAAGTATATTAATATAATATATTGAATACATTAAATATTAATATATAAAAAATTATATATAATTATAATATATAATTATATCATTTTATATATATTAATAAATATTTTAATTCAATAAATATTTTTTATATCTTTATATAAAATATTATATATATTTTTATTTAATTAACTTTAATTTAAGAATAATTATATTGTTAATTTTTATTATTTATTTTTAATTATTAATATTTTTATAATAGTTATAATAAATTAATTAATTAAAAATATATATTTTTTTATTTATATTAATAATAATAAAAAATTTATATAAGTTATATTAATATTATTTTATAATAGAAACAGATTTATTTATAAAAAATCAAAATTTATAATAGATATTTAAATTAAATAAAACTTATATTTATATAATTTAATTAAAGTTTTAATATTTAAAATTCAATATTTTGAATTTAAAAGTAAAAATTATATATAAATTATTATTTAATTTATTATAATATAGAAAATTAAATAATTTAATTTTTATTACTAAATTTTAAAATAATTAATTTTAAATTATATATAAATTTTTTAAAATTTAATATTTCAAAATTTAATATATAATTTTTTTAAAAATTATAATATAATATAATTATATATTTTTTAATATTTTTATAAATAATTATTTTAAAAATTTAAGTAAAATTAATTTTTAAATTATTATCAAATTTTAAATTTTATTAAGATTTTTTTAAAAATTTAAATTTAAATAAAATTAATTAGATTTTTATTAAGTTTATTATTATTATTATTAAATTTAAATTTTCAGAATTATCCTAATGAAATTAATAATAATCTGAAAATTAATTTTATTAAATTATTATAATATTTAAATTTTTAGAAAAATCTTAATAAAATCTAAGTAAAATTATTTAATAAATTTTATTTAAATTCTTATTAAATTTAATTTTTAGAAATTCTTAATAAAATTTGATAACTAAATTTTATTAAAATAAAAAACTTAATTATAATTTTTAAATTAATTTTATTTAATTATTATAAAATTAAATTTTCAATATATAATTTAATCTTTTTATAATTATATTTTATATATAAATAATTATATAAAAATATAATTTATATTATAATAATTTTGATTAGATTATATTTATTTAGTTTAGATTCTTATTTTATATTATTTGTATTATATTTTAGAAAAGTACTATTTATTACGTGATTTTTTAGAGAAAGAAGAGAGACAAGCTACCTGTCACATCTAATAATTTATCATGTGTTAAGTCAAAAAAAATTACCTATCAAATTATGATCTTTCTCATATCTATATTCTCATATCTACATTAATTACTTTTTTGAAAATCTAAGATTTTTTTTCAGATTGAATTGCTTAAAAATCTATCTCATACTCTTCTCAAAGTGATATCTATATATATGATAAGATATCTAGAATAACCAAGTTACTAGATCTACTACAAGAAGTCACTTCCAATTACTAAGATAGTTTTGTTTTTCATGACCATTCTCTTTTGCTCTTATGCTCATTTTTTCAATGCTTTGTTATAAAATTAAGAGTAAGAAATATTTATCATATATTGTATAACACAAATGAGCATGAAGCTCATCAGCAATAAAAGAATAATATTTGTTATATGATGAAATTTTCATTCAATCTGCATACTTAAGTATGTGTATTAGATTTAGATAATAATTATCTTTTCCTTTAATAATAAGAGGAAGAAATTTATTATTTTCTTCTAATAGAGCTATTACATTAAGTACTCTGAATACTCAATAACAAGTTTAGTTATTATATTTTTAAAGATTCAAGATATATCAA